GTTTTTTTTTATTTAAATTCTATAGACCAATAGAATTCAAATTAGGAAATTTTATCTAATTTGTTGAGTGGTTGGCGAGATATCTTCACTCAAAGTTTTAAAAAAATGAAGATGCCTATTAAAATAGAAGTTGTACTGGATTTCTTTCAAACTTTGAGTGAATATATCTTGACACCTACTTGTCCAAATTCGATAAAACCTTTTTTATTTGAATTCTGTGAATCTATAAAATTTAAATAAAAAACTTTTTATCGAATTTGGCCAGGTGGGTATCGAGATAGCTTTGTTCAAATTTTAAAAAAATCAGACCATCTATTAAAAATAGATTACACCAAATTTTTTCTTAAATTTGAGCAAAAATATATTAGCAACCACTGGACTAAATTCGATGATTTTTTTTTATTAGAATTCTATGAATCCTTAGAATTCAAATAAAAAAGTTTCATTTAATTTAGTCAGGTGGATATCAAAATATTTTGATTTAAAGTTTTAATAATTTTTATTTTTACTTAGTACAAATGATTGTCATCATGTAATTAAAAACCAAGCACAGATTCTACATATGCCTAAATTACAATTATTAGCTCACTTAGCTCTTTGTAACCAAAGTTCAAATTACTCATGTGCAACCTGCTATAGGCAGGATTCTCTTTCAAAATATTCCCTTTTGCACTTAAAAAGAATAAACCTTCATTAGAAGGTTCTCACTGGCCTATTAAGACTATCTATTTTTCTTTCTAAACTTTTTTCACTAGATTTAAGCAAAATAGTTTATCTCTTACTTTTCTGTAAGAGAAGAAAAAATATACTACATCTATAAAAGAAAACAACATTATCTAAAAAAAGAAAGAGAAAAATAAAAAAAATAAAAAAAATATTTAACTGAAAAAAAGATGTTCTAAATATAGTTTTATTATAATAGAAAGATAAAAAGATTAGAAAAAAGATATAGAAATCCTAATAAACCATCTTTAAAAAAAAACAAATAAAAGAAACAAGAAAGAAAAATAATCTATGCTAGATATAAAAGTAAAAATTATATACTAATTGCAACTAATTAATATATTTTAACTATAAAGCCTCGCTTTAATGTTGGGACTTATTCTGAATATGTCATCAGGGTCAGGTATCTCCTAAACAGATTATTGATCTCATCCCCATACTGTAGCATTATAGCAATAAACAAATAAATACGTAGTTGCATTCTACTGAGTTTATTTGAATTAGATAAGTGTAAATATTGCCAATCTTTTGGAGGGGGTAGGCTGAAATGCCCACTTTTGTCAAAAATTTTAGTAAGATTGGTAAAATATTAAAGAAAGAAAAAATACTTAAAACCACTAAAAGAGTGTGAGTTTTCTTTTATTAGAATTAACTATACACCCAAGTCTGCACAGTACTAAGTCTTATTGGTGAGTAATAAACTCTAAGCTTGTTAACAAGTAGTATAAGAACTACTTCTAAACAACAAGTACTGTGTCTGTAGTTAGTGAGTGATAAACTCTAAGGCTGTTAGCAGATAGCATATGAGACTAACACTAAATAATAGTGGCTAACTTACAGTCTTTTTCATATCTTATATGAGAGTTATCAACTTTACTTTAGTATACAGTTTTTTTTTCTAGTAAAAGTTTTTTAGAAATTGTAGTTCAAATGATTATCAGAAAGAATGTTGGATTGAATAATTGATTAAATTATATAACTAATAATAGATGATTTAAAATATAGTAATTAAAAAGTAACACAAAATATAATAATTAAATAGTAATAAATATATAACAATATAATAATAGTTATTAGTCAAGAACTCTTTCTAATGATCATCTGTACCAAAAAATCCAAACATATTTTTTGTAAAAATACAATAGTATATAGTAAAAAAACAGAAGGTATACTAGCAGTGATAAGTCAGCAGTTGTTATTTAGAGATAGTTCTCATATGCTACCTGCTTTTTCTTTAAAGTTTATCACTCACTGCATGCATAGCACTTGTTGTTTAGAAGTAGTTCTTATACACTACTTGCCAACAAGTATAGAGTTTATTACTCACTGACAAGTAATATATAAATGCTTCACCGCTTTTCTAAAAGAAGGTTTAGAAGTTGTTGAGTTTTTTCATAGATGTAATAACTTTTCTTGGGTGCAAGTAGTTTTTTCCAAGTTGTTTTTCACTTGGCCAGTCTTCTCCAAAATTTTCAACAAAAAGTGGGCAATTTGGTTTACCTCCTCCAAAAGATTGGTATTATTTATTTCCCAAATTCGAATATATCCAGAAATGCAACTACATTAGTAGATATGGTATATAACGTAATCTGTAGATATGGGTTCTCCATGTGACTAGGATTGGGTCTCTGGTATAAGAGGCATCTGGAAATAACTGGTAGTTAAATAATAATTTGTTAGGTTTTATACTAGTCGAGATATACAAATATTGCAATTGTTATAAAATTTTATTAAATCTGGCACAAGTTATAATAGTGTAAATTTCTTTTTTCTTTAGTTTTATTTGTACTATTTCTTGATAGAGGTAATTCCTCCTTTGTTGGCCTTTGGGCTTTTCTCTTTGGTTTTCTTTTTTTATATTTTATTGTACTCTCTTTTATTGTTTCTTTTAAAAATTTATCTTTGTTCTATTTGTTTTTTTTTAGTTAGTTTTCTTGGTATTATTGGTAGTTTTGTTTTAGATATAAGATTATCACTTTCTTTTGCTCTCAGTAAAGAAAGAGAATATGAAGAGAAAAACTTTGATGGACTGACAAAGTTTATCTAACTTGTATACAGATTGGTATGACAAGTCACATAAGAGTACATTTATTGTAGCTGGGTAATGTCAGAATCACAATCGTAAAACTTCCTGTTTAGATTATAAATGATATGTATTGTTCAAGAGAGTTTACTCTCACCAAAAATATAGTCTTAATAAATTGATACTGGCAAGAATGTCAAAAAGTTTAAAAATAAAATAATAATAATAGTTATTAGTATAGTTATCCTCTCTTATAATCATAGTTAAATACATACCAATATGGTAATTATAAAGAAGTGTAATATATAAACTTTATCTCTATATAAATACAAATTATATTAATATATACAGTCAAACCTCTCTAAGTACATGTTATTGGGACTAGCTCTGAGGTATAAATTTAAAGAGAGTTGTATTTAGAGAATACTAATAGAATTATAGTCAGCTGTCAATAAAAATTAAGTAAATCTACATTTGAAAAAAAATTAATGCTTTAATTTTCACAGCTCATATCTTGATAAATTTTAAAGCTATCTTGATAGTTTAATATTCAAAAAAAAGCTTATGATCTATGCTTTATTTGAATATTAAACTATCAAGATAGCTTTAAAATTCATCAAAATATTAGCTATGAAAGTTAAAGTATTAAATTTTTTTCAAATATAGATTTGCTTGATTTCTATTGATAGCTGCATATATACTATATAAGTTTTATGTTAAAATTATCTTATATAGGATTATATAATCTTGATTTGATTGGCTAATAATCACATAATATGCATTTATGAAGGGATTTATATAGGTGGGCCAGAAAAATAGTATGCATTTGTAGAATAAAGAATATGAATTTATTTATTAAGCCCATTAATAGGCCAGGTAATTAATATGCATTTAGAGAGGTTATGCATTTAGGGGATGCATTTAGAGAGGTCTGACTGTATATAATGTAATTTAATAGAAGTAAAAAAAATAAATGAGAATTACTTTATATCACCACTGGTAATTATTACTAGTATAGTTTTTAGGGCTAGAGTGCATATTTAAGGGGTTTTTTTTTATATAATATAATATAGGTTAAATATAAGGTTCCAATTTTAGTTCTTATGAGGTTTTCAAGAGTTCTGACCATTTTTACTTAGAATACCTGATCCTATTTACTTAGTAGGTTTTTGAGATATAGCAACACTGGTAATGATTACTAGTAGTGATAAATAGTAAACCTCAAAATAAATATATAATAAATTTCAAATTATTACATATTTAACTTATATTTTAATATAATCTATTATTAAATAATAATATGTTTATACAAAATACTTTAAAATATAATATACATAGCCGTTATATGTACTAATAAAAAATGAAAATAATATAATATGGGATTATGTGGTGGGTGTAATCGTTTTAGCCATGAACACGGCTGCAAATTTTATCAAAATTTTAACTACCGGAAAAGTTCGCGTAATGATTCGCATAAAACCCGTGATATTTTATTATACAAAATACCCAAGCGTATTTAATATAACGATAATCTATTATTCTTATCAATCCAAAGACGTCAGACCGATGGTCTTTAATGTTAAGCAGAACCTAACAATGTATGACCAGCCAAACGGTAAAAAGCTATCTAAAAGGACGTACACATAATGTTGCAGTCAATTTGAACATGTGAACATGTCATCCAATAGCATTCAATATTTTGTGCATAAAAACTTGCCTGTATACTAGTACAAATTTGATTTTTTATCTATATAATAATAAAAATTTGATTTGCTATTATACTTTATATATGTTTATTTTAAATTTTATGGTTAAACTGACTATACAGTTGACCCTCTCAAAACCGATCCTGTCAAAGTCGATAACCTTTCAAATCTGATAAAAAATTAATCTACCAAGTCCGTTCCCGTTATATAAATCTAATAGTTTGCTATTTTTTCAAATCCGATAACCTCTTAAAACTGATACAAAACCTGTCCACCATGCATACCGATTCTGAGAGGGTCAACTGTATAATAAATAGTTAATATAATAGAGGGGGGTGGGGGTATAAATAATTTACACAATACAGATAACTATTTAATGAGGATAGAGATTTTCTAAAAAAAATAAATAGAATAGCTATGGGATTGTCAGTTATAATGTGATAAGTATACAATATGAAAATGAAATTCGGATGTGATTTCAGTAGGATAGAATAGTTTTACATTATGCATAGTTTTTGGCAATAGTAAAGAAATAATATAATTCTTTCCTATGTCATGTATTCATCATCTTCCTGAATTGACTCTTTTAATTCCTCTAATTGTTTTTTGGCCCTAGCGTTATTTTGTGAGGCTGCTAAGCTAAAATACTTATACGCAAGTTTTGGATTATCTTGTAAATACATACAGCCCATATGATATTGGGCTTCAGCAGATCCATCTGACCACGTTAAATAATTAGCAATTTCTTCTGTATTACCATTTTCCTTTAAAGCAAATGCATAACGAAGTTGTGCATATTCAACACCGTCTTCAGCTGCATCCTTAAAAAGAGCTGCAGCTTGATTTTTGTCTTGAGAAACATGATGTCCCTCCCATAAATAATAACCTTTCCAATACTTTGCAAACCGATCATTAAGTTCGGCGTTCTTGACAAAACAATTCCATGCATCTTTGTAATTTCCACTTCTATGAAACTTTATTCCTTCATCAGTTGACAAGTGAAACTCTATATCATCACATTTTAACTCCGAAGAACTATTATCATCATGATTAAAACTTTCATCATGCAAATTTTCACTTCTTGGTTCAAGCCCTGAACAGCCATCATGTACTTTATAGCTTGATGCCAACTCATCAAGCTTCAGAAACAACTCTATGAAGTCTATTCGTTTAGTTGGTAATTGCTCCCATGCTATTTTAAAATACAAAATGATTAATAAAGTTTTGCAAAGTTCGAATTTATTTTGTGCTATAATTACTTGCCATTTGAAATAATTTCGGTTAATTTTAAATGAATATTTTCATCATCATGGTCTTTAAATTTGTCAGCTTTCAGTATTTCTCGACCACCACTTAGTACATGCCTTTTTATTGATTCAACATCCATAGTTTTATAAGGAATTCTTTCATAGCAAAGCTCCCATATTAACATTCCGAAACTAAAAATACCTTAAATTAGAAATTGGTTGTAAATATAAATTATAAAGTTATCTTGTATAAATATTAATACCTGAATATTTCACATTCAATAGTGTATCTGTTTTGTCCAGAATCTTTTCGGTCATCTTCTATTTTTTCAGGGGCTAGCCAATTAATAATAGTCTTAAATTTCTTTGAATTATCCACGGACAACTTGGTGTTATCCGTCGTACGTGCATAATTAAAATTCGCAAGTTTTGCTTCAAAATTTTTAGTTACCTATCAAAAAATTAAAAAATCATTAAAATTTCTCATATTAAACAAATTTATAACGTATGAAAGCAAGAATTACCATCACGTTTTCACATCTAACGTCATGATGAAAAATATTGGCATATTTCAAAAAAATAAGACCTCGACAAATATCAAGCAAAAATTGAACTTTTTTAGGCCATAAAATATTGTATGAAGAGTAAACTTCGTTAAGGTTTCCATATTCAGCCCATTCAAAAACCATTATATTTCTTATATTACTATTATCATCTAAATATGAAAGGCCATAAAAACGAAGGATATTTTGCGTGTAGCTTAAGCTTCCCAAGATTGACAGCTGAGAAATCAAATTAATATCTTTAATGGGTTTGCAAGCTACTTCACTTGTTTTTTTATATACTTGTTTATAAACAGTATCACGAGATACTTTTATAATGGGATTGTCTAAATGTTTTGAATCAACGCTTAAAGGTTGATTATCTTTCATGGAATTTATTTCCTGAATAGTTATGTTAATAATATTCCTATCATTTTTTTTTTCAATTTTTTCAATATACTACAAAAATTTACAAAATAATAAAAATTATATTCAAGACAATATCAAATATAAAATATAATATAAAATACATACTTGTGCGAGTTTTTCAAACTCTTTATTGATACTTTTATGATCAATCTTTCTTTGTTCTTCATTTACCACTATCATTGTAAATTTTAAATCATTCATACAACCATCGTATTCATCGATTAATTGATTGAATTTTTTTCTCGCAGTATTAGCATAAAAATATTTTTTGAATCCTTTAAACTGTGACAAATTTTGGGCAAATTCTTTGACTTTTACCAAAGTATTTTTGAACGTTACTAAAGCAAAATAAAACTCTCTATCGTAAATATTTTCACAATCTTGTCTTCTCGCTATCACATTCAATGCATGTTCTGCTGTATGGGTTCGATCGAGGAACGAGTCGCAAAGTTTTTTATTGCATTGTGCATTTTCGTAAATTTTTACTATATCCTGAGTTAAAGTTTTCACTAAAGCTATTAATGCAATTGTAGGCGCTACGAAAGCCATTCTAAAGTTTATTAAAAGAATTTAAGTTTGTTAAAAGAATTTAAGTTTATTAAAAGAATTTAAGTTTATTAAAATAATTTGAGGAGGAAAATCTGGACATATTTATATCCAAAATTGTCGGAAAAATTATGAAGATAGACTCCAGAAATATTTTGATACGTTTGTTGAAATAATTCTAAAGGGATTTACTGTATACTCGTAATATTAATTCCGTAAACATTATATAATTCTCTACTCATTAAAATTGATTCTACAAACATCAGTTTTCGTATATATCTATGACATGCTGTGTTATTTAATTAAATTCCATAATGTTATAATGACTTTCTAAATTTGTATATTAACAAAGGGGATTTTGTATTCCAATTTGTATACTTACAAAGGGATTTGTTTTCCTATTTATTTTGTTACACTAAATTACAGATATGCTGCGTATTGTTTGGCTTTCTGTTTGGAATCAACATGTAACATTTGTGAATCAATGAACAATGTCTTTTTTTGTTAATATAAAATTTTCCGACTAATTAACCCATATTAATTCTTATATGAATAATATTTATTATCTGACGTATCGGACGATAAATAAAAATAATTTTTTATTACAGGAAATGGGTTCTATAAAAATTGACATTTTTATATAGTTAGCAAAATATATTTGCGTCGCCTTGATAAATGAATTACTTTTTTCAAATAAACATGTAGTTATTTGAACCGATTGGCTCCAATTGGGTAACCGAACCGAACAAAACAAAACACGGTTAACCAATTGATTAAATTTCTTAATCGGTTAACTCGGTACAACCGGTTGATTATCGGTTACCCGGTTAACGGATATTAAAATCATCATTACGTATGATAGATGAATGACGCCAAGAAAAAAGCAACTATCATTATGATACAAAAGGAAATGAAATTGAAAAGGATGAACATAAGGCGTTTAATTCTTCAAAAGCAGTCAATTTAAAATTTTCGATATGTTAACCTGACCAGTGTTTGGTTAGCCGATTGATATTTTTTAGGTCTGGTTAAGCCGGATTACCGTGTTACAACTGTTTTCATTATTCTTGATCAAATGATTATTTGATTTGGGCGTGATTAGTAATATAACGATAATGATATATTGCGATTGTATTCTTATTAACAATATTACAATGTCAACACATCAAAAAAATAATTATTTACTTGAATGTTTATTCTGTACAAAAATTTATGACGAATTAAAATTTGTCGAAGCTGCATTGAAAATTATAAACAAAGTAACAAAAATCTATAAAAGTATTTCATTTATTTATGTAATATAAATTATAATAAACTTTTAAAATATAGACCAAAAAAGAAAATCTGTATGAATTAGATGAAAATATTGAAACAGTTGATCTAATGAACCATTAGTTTGTTCGTCTATAGTAAACATTTTAAAAATGCTTAGCTTGTATGAAATAACTGCTATTGAATATGAAATATCCAACTTGTCTAAAGTAATAACTGCTGAATCTAATGTAATCTGAAGCGCAAAAATATTGATATTGATATTACATTATCTCTATCATTAAAAAGACTCAAAAACTTATCGAATCGGCCAAACACAGATGTCCCAAAACAGCTGTAACCAAATAACTCCAGCTAAAACGATTAGAATCGGTTGAAACAGTCCAGCTAACCGATTAATGATTTGCGAAATTTGAATCTAGTACCCTAGCCATGGCGAAAAAGTGTCGGGCATGTGAGATTCTACTCGAGCTATCAAGTTCTAATTGGATGAAATTGATGATCCTTAAAAAAATATTATATATTTTTTCAAACTTTGAGCGAAAATATCTTAGTAACTAAATATCTAAACCTTTGAAATTTTTGATAGGTAGTTACTGAGATATTTTCGCTCAAAGTTTGGAAAGAACGGCCATAATCTGTTTTGATAATCCTTCCATCTAAACTTTTTTTTTTTTTTTGAAGAATATCTCGATAACTACCTATCTAAATTCGATGACTTTTTTTAATATTGATTCTATGAATCCATAGAATTAAGATTAAAAATTTTCATTGATTTTGGATAGGTAGCGATCGAGATATTATCGCTCATATTTGTAATGAAATTTAGCCGCGGTCTTTGTTTTGATAATCGTCTAAATTTTTTTGAACTTTAAACAAGAATATATCAATAACTATCTAACTAAAATCGATAAAATTTTTTGATTTTGATTCTATGAATAAATGGAATTAAAATAAATTAAAAAAATTCATTGCTTTTGGACAGGTAGTTATCATCGCTCAAATTTGTAAAGAACCTAGCCGCCGTCTTTGTTTTGATAATTATCTAAACTTTAAACAAGGATATCTCGATAAATACCTATCTAAGATCGATGGAATTTTTTTATTTTGATTCTATGGATCAATAGAATTAAAATAAAATAAATTTATTGCGCTTTGCAAAAAGATGTGACCTCTGCAGATCGCAATGTCGTTTGAAAATCGGAGATTTTGTAGATTTTAAGAATCTTACCGATTTCAAATAAATATAAATACAATTGATAGAAAATATGAATTAATAGACAATTTAGAATCTCGGAAATTTTCCTCGTTCATAATCACAAAAATCATGGGGTCACATCTTTTTGTAAAGCGCTATAATTGATTTTGGATAGATAGCTATCGAGATATCATCGCTCGAATTTGTAAAGAACTTAGCCGCAGTCTTTAACGATATCTCGATAACTACCTATCCAAAATCGATGAACTTTTTTTTATTTTTAGAATTAAAATAAAAAATTTGCATCGATTTTGAGTAGGTCGAGATATTCTTGTTTAAAGTTAGAAAAAATTTAGACGATTATCAAAATAAAGACTGCGGCTAAGTTCTTTGCAAATTTGAACGATGATAACTCAATAATTACCTATCCAAAATCAATAAAAAAAATTTTTTTATTTAAATTCTAATGATTCATAGAATCAGAATAAACCAAAATTCATCGATTTTAGATAGGTAGTTATCGAGATATCCTTGTTTAAAGTTCAAAAAAAAAAATTCTAAAAGCAAGGATCATCAAAAAGATACGGCTTTTTTCCCCAAACTTTGAGCGAAGATCAGTAATGCCTATTAAAAATCGACAAAATTTTTTTATTTTAATTTCATGAATTCATAGAAATAAATAAAAAATTTTCATCGATTCTAGATAGGTTACTGAAAAAAAATATACAGTCGACTCTCTTTATACCGAACTGCATGTTCTGGGAGATTTTGTTCGGTATAGAGTGAGTTCGCTTTATACAGTTCGCTCTCTATACCGAACGGTTCGGTATATATAGCGGACCAATAAAATCA